TTGGGAATCTAACTTCCTGACTTAGAGTTGCAGGACTCTAGGGTGGGGTGGGGGGGGGGAGGCGAGTTCAAATGCCTTCACCCAACCCTTCTATCATGTTGATTTTTCAATTTAGTGTGTCTGCTTGATGTTACTTTTCTTTCTATTTTTTTTAGTTAGTTTTTTTTTTTAAAGTTCAGACATAGGAACCTCGGAGTCCTTAATTTTCATTTTTTTTCTCTATATTTGACGCTTGAAGCTCGAGGTCTCCTTGTCATCCTTGTTAGCTGCTGTCCTGCAAAGTAGGATCACCTTTGTGCTGGCTTGCTTTTCTTTCAACTTGACACAGAGTTGGGTCATCTGGGAAGCAAGAAGCATGATCTAAAAAGAGTCCCACCGTAGGATGGATCAGTCAGCATGGTTGTGGGGCATTTTGTTGACAGATGATGGATGGGGGAGAGCACAGGGCATGGTGGGTGGTTTCGGCTCTGGGCAGTGGGCCTGGGGTATGCAAGAAAGAAGACTGAACAAGCCAATACTCCTTTAAGGTTTCTGCTTCGATTCCTGTCTCAAGTTGCTGCCTTGACTTCCTTCAGTAGACTGTGTCATGGTAGCAGTAGCGAAGTAAACCCCTTTCTCCCCAAGTTGCTTTTGGTCATGGTGTTTTATTGCAGCAACAGAAACCCCAACTAAAACAGACACTGAACTGGTACTATTTATTATTATTATTATTATTAGTTTTATTTTTTTGAGACAGGGCCCCTGTGTGTTGCTTTAGAGCCTGTACTTCAGGGAGTTCAAGGCTGGCCTCGAACTCACAGAGATCCACCTGCTTCTGCCTCCCAAGCGCTGGAATTAAAGGCGTGCGCCACCACCGCCTGTCCTATTTTTTTTTTCAAACTTTGTTTTATGGACATTGGTGTGAGGATGTCAGACCCCTGGAACTGGAGTTACAGATGGTTGTGAGCTGCCATGTGGGTGCTCAGGATTGAACCCGGGTCCTCTGGAAGAGCAGCCAGTCCTCTTAACTACTGAGCCATCTCTTCAGCCGTCTACTGACACTGTTATTTAGCCTAGTTGATCTTCTCATTCTCTTTGCATCTTTTTCTTGGTCCTATGCAATATTTCCAATATCCCAAAGTAGATCTTATACATTTTACTACCAATTACTATGTCCAATTTGCCTTTATAATGGTTCATGAATGTACTCTGTGTAATTTTAACTTTTCAAAAATAGAACTGTTTTATGGCTTAGCCTTAATTTGATGGCCAGATCTTGGGGTTTTGAAAAAAAAATGTTCTGCCGTAGATGGGTACAGTGGTCTATAAATACCTGTCAGTGAGTTCCTGGTGATTGTTAGAATCTACATAGTCCACTTATTGTTCGAGAATTGCATATACAAATATGTGTTTTGATCAAATCCATTTTGTTCTCCAATCCCTCCCATTTCTCCCATTCCCTCTCTACCATTACTTTACCCTTCTAACCTTATGTATGCTTTTAAACCCACTCAGTCCACTTAATACTCTTAGTATGTGCACTGTTATAAGACAATCCACTGGAAATTGGGTGACCTATCAAGAGGCTGTGCCTGAAGAAAACTGAGTCTCCATGGTGGTTTGAAAGAACATGTCCCCCCACCACCAGGGAGTGGTACTGTTAGGAGGTGTGGCCTTGTTGGAGTAGGTGTGGTCTTGTTGGAGGAAGTGTATCATTGTGGAAACAGGCTTTGAGGTCTCATATATGCTCAAGATACCACCAGTGTCTCAGACCACTTCCTGTTGCCAGCAAACCAAGATATAGGGCACTCGGCTGCTTCTCTAGCACCATGTCTGTCTGCACACCACCATGCTGCACCATGATGATAATGGACTAAACCTCTGAAAATGCAAACCACTCTAATTAAGTGTTTTTCCTTTATAAGAGTTGCTGTGTGGTCATGGTGTCTCTTCACAGCAATAGAAACCCTAACTAAGCCAGATGACCAGGCAGGGGATGGTAGGAAACAGGAGAATTGTCTTTGGAGGGTTTGCCCTCTGCATTTTAGGGGCTTCACACATGTTATATCATTTGTTTCCTGCTCCCCATCAGCCCTGAAAGAAAGGCAATGGTGTTATTGTCCTTCTGTCGTCACAGGGGCAAACACACACTCTCAGAAGACAAGACACTCAGATCCAAGAGCAGGTCTCCATCATGAAGCATCCCTTCCAGTCTCTAAGCATGCCCTGGGCAGTGAGTTGTAGAGCAGGCAGGAGGAGGAGTTAGAAGAAGAGGCAGTTCTCTGTCCTCCACAGGACAAATGCCTTTGTAAGCCTGAGGGGAAACCTGTTGCTATGTTGGCCAATGGAGTCTCAAGACTGTCCTAAACTGGCCTTGCTCTTTGGCAACAGTAGGGGCTATGTTTGTTTCCGGAAGTCACAGTGGCGATCACAAAGAGGCTGTGTTCACATGTAATTTGCTTTGACAGAGATTAATTTTTAATAAGAGACTCTATTCAGTCAAATAATTGCCCTTTGGGGCCTGTGTCAGGGTCAATCATCCAGAGTTGGTGCGACTTGGGCTCTTGGCTCTAGCCTGGGGCATGCCTGTGCTCACATGTGCTTGTGGGTGCCTGTGGAGGGTGTTGGGGGTGGGGAGTGTAGACCGGTCATAGTCAGGTGACAAGTCAAGACCAGGCTGAAAGAGGCAGGGAGCCCACTTATTTCTTTGTCCCCCACCCCCCAAAAACACACTGTATGTAGCACCCCGCTTTGGTAGCTTATGCTAACTACGTTTTCCACAGACTCAATGTCTTGTGGATCCCAGGACAAGCCTTCCACTATGGCGGCGTTAAGGGATGCTTACTACATTCAATCTTAATGGCACAGAGTCATTATGGTACAGAGTCCTTATGGTACAGAGTCATCAACTCCATTTCATACCGTCAGGAGGGGAGGGGCCAGAAGGGGAGGGGCTCCCTCATCCCTGGTCCAAGACATTTTGTCTTCTTATTCACCTGTCCAACCTCCCCTTTCACCAAGTAGCAGCTCTTCCAACCGTCCTGTCTCTCTCAGTGGAGTTAGTTGGAAAAGCAGCGCTTCCTTATGCCAAGAGCAGTTTCTCTCCTTGCTGTTCACCTAACCCCTCTGTCATGCTTGTGTGTTTTTTTTCTTTTTCTTTTCTTTTTTTTTTTTCTTTTTGGTTTTTTGAGACAGGGTCTCTTTGTAGCTTTGGAGCCTGTCCTGGAACTTGCTCTTGTAGACCAGGATGTCCCCAAACTCACAGAGATCCACCCGCCTCTGTCTCCCGAGTGCTAGGATTAAAGGCGTGCGCCACCACTGCCAGGCTTCGCCTCTTGCTTGTTATGGATACGGATGGGGAGGGTGCTTTCCCCGCTTTCAAAAGATCGGGAGACTTCCGGGTTTTCTCTTTTGGTACTTGCTTCCATTTTCCTGCGCAATTTCTCTTAGGAAATGCACGCTTTTTCTTCCTTTTGGGTTCTGCTAAAAGACAGAACCTTGCAGTTCTGCCTGCTCAGTGTGGGCGGCACTGCCATTTTCAGCTCCGAAAACTTATCCTCCAGCCGCCCCCAAAGGCTTCCTCGGGAGACATGGTGACTTCTCTCCTTAATTACTCGGATTGGTTTAAAAATAGGGTGCAGGGGTTCCCTTGTCAGGAGAGCTGTCAGCCTGCCCGCTTTTGGCAACCTTTTCTACCTCCCTTTGTTGGTACGCGTCAAAGCATTTTTTTTTTTAATTTTTTATTTTAAAAGTGTTCTGCTTAAGTTTTCTGCAGTCTTGAAATTACCAGAAGCATCTCAGGGGGCCCTTTAGAAACGACTCCGTTTCCTGACTTAAAATCACAAGTAATTTGATTTTCTATGCCTTACTGTCTTTGCAGGCGCGCTGTTAGCATGAAAATGGATGGTAAAAAATAGATCCTGGTGAAGGTGAGGGCCCTGATAGGCGGAATTCTGTGTGTGTGTGTCAAGGCAGGACACGTTTCGGGGGCTTAACACAGATTGGGGTGTATGTAGCTGTGCGTAGTGAGAATGACAGAAGACCCGAAAGATTAAACCAATGAACGGAAGGCAAAGCCCACAGAAACACACTCTGTAAGTAAAATCAAATTAGCCATGTTATTAGTAATAAGAACACAGCATGCATACACGTGGTGGGCAGAGAATGCCCGCCTTCTGGCAAATCCTCTTTTGTTGGTTCTTGTCCCATCACAGAATTTGTGGCAGCATCTTGTCCTTTGTGTGGGGGAATGTCAAACCTTCCATCTCCCCCTGTAACCTTCGGCCTCTTCATTCCTTTCTTCTTATCTGTGCTGCCTGGTCTTCCCTTATATGGCCACGGGTGCCCTCGGAAGTCTAGGAATTTGAATGTTATGCGAAAGGCTAAATGCTATTTGGACTCAGTGACATTCATGTCGCCTGGGAGATGTATGGGGGTCACCCTGTGAGAGATCAGCGAGTGTCCCCATCGGCTGTGATGTCTTTCATTGCTTTCTCTGTAAACACCAGTCTCAGCTAATGGTCCCACAGCCCTGCCATCGCTCCCCCCCCCCCCCCCCCGCCCATCTCCGCCCCAGCCTGCTGTTTCCTTAATTAGCAAGCAAAGATTTCTTTAACATTTCAGCTCTGCAGAAAGATGTTTGCTTTCGTGATCTCATTTATTGCACACAGAGGAAGTCTGTGAGATAGAAGGACAGGTATTATTACATCATTGCCCACTTTGCAAGCCAACTTGAGGCTCTAGCTGCTCCTTAGTTATGGCTCATGATGGCATACTCATTAAAGGCAGAGTCAACTTCCCCTCTCCCAGCCGCAGGCTCTTCGGCGCCCTGTTTGGGTGGATTTCCTCAAACAAAATACTTCCTGACTTGGGAGATCAGGCACCATTTGTGGATGCCAGTTAGAGATAATCCTGTCATCTCAAAGTTCATTCAGATTGATGTCTCCTATTAAATAGGCTCGCCTTATCTCAATCTAAACGACTTCATACTTTATAAAAATATATTGGCTTCATTAGTGAATATCTGCTCTGACCTAGTTTGAGTCCAGAGAAGGGAACAAAGCAGAACCAAACTTTCAGGGAGCTTCATTCCCCCGGAGGAGACCTCGAAGAAGCAGGGAGGAAAACCACGCACGGTGGGCCTGCAAGTTAAGGATGCTAAGGGAGGAGTGTTATTCTAGATGAGGGGACCAGGGGAGGCAGTGCCCTTTGATGCCTAAGGATTCACAGAAGAGGCTGTGCTTTGGTAAAGGGTCAAGGTGGGTGGGAGGGTAGGTGAGAGCAGCTGGCTCTCAGTAATGGTGCCCCCCCCAGGGGGTAGACTACCTGGCAGGTTAGAAGAAAGGAGCTGGGGGTAAATTGACCCCAGCCAGGGAGGAGGGAAAGCAGGGGAGCTGGGGAGGTGCTGGAGAGCCAGAATCAGAGTGAGAATTTTGGCTTTAACTCAGAGTGAGATAAGGCTCCCGTGGAGGGGGTCAGTGTGAGGTGCTGGTGTCCAAAAGAGCAGTTAGACAAACGTCTGCGTCCTGCTGAGCTATGGCCCAGTTCTGACCCCTCTCATTTCGTGCCAGGGGTGGAGACATAGCTTGCATGGCCCACTTTGAAAATAGAATGCAGAGCCTCCTGCTTCAAAAGCAGGAGGCAAAGGGACAGAGCTAGAAGCGACTGAAACATGCAGCCTTTCCTTTCTCCCTCAGCCTCCCCTTCAACCTGCTACGGCGGTCTCAATTTGTCATTTGCCGTCGATCCAAGTAAAGAAGCGGTTCTCACTTAAAACTCTTAGCGTGAGTTTTTCTGTTCATCTTTGCACTGCCCAATTCCAATTTTTTAAGGCAAGGATCAGCGAGAACATTTTAGTAGCTACATTTCCTGAGTGTATCTTTGTTTGTACAGGGCAGTGGAAACACTATAAAAAAAAGGTTCAAACCCCGCACCCCCCAAAATGCAACCTTCTACCAACACCGGACCTTTTATGTGACAGTAAGGAAGAGAATTTATTGGTTGTACTATCTTAACCTTTTTGTTTCCTAGGTCATTGTTTTTGGGGTCTATTGCTGAGTATAACAAAGAAACATTTGGAAGTACCAAAGGCCACGACAGGACAAACAGCAAGCGTGCCTTCATTGACTTTGTTCTGTAGCTGTTTCAGGTTTTCCTTTGGAATGGAAGATGTGTCCCGAGGTGAGACCTGCATTCTCATTCAGTCACAGATACAAGGTGTCTATCTTGCCCAACATTACCGTCTCTGGACTCCAGACTTCATAGGCATACAGGAATCCTGTACTCCTAGGACCCGGCAATGCCCAGGGGAGGGCAGGAGTAGCAAAAGGCGGCCGTGCAGAGTGTGAGGATTTCCTTTGCTCCTGCCTAGGGTCCTTGCCGCAGTGCATTTACAAGATGGAAAACCAAGTTACCAAGAATTTTAGGTCGATGACCTAAGACTGTGGAGCCATGTGTGCCATGCTCGTGGCCGGCATGGCCCAGGCTACACACCCACACAGCTGACCCCGTTCAACTCTGCTCTTTGGAGAACTAGTCTGGCCTTTGTGGCAGATGTTGAAGGACTGGATGAATGAGATAAATAAACCTACTGCCCGAGGCACATTCTGAAACCTTGGTTACAATTTACACTGCCAGAAAACAAGGTTTGAAAATTCTGGTTGAGGAAAACAATGGTACTTGTTTAGCATGGGGATTTTCTTTCTCTTTCTTTCTTTCTTTCTTTCTTCCTTCCTTCCTTTCTTTCTTTCTTTCTTTTTTGATCAGAGACGCATGAGGGTCATTGTGTGATAGATCACAGGAAGTGCATATATTGTGCTGTTTCAGAACCAAGATCCTCAAGGATGATGAAGAAACCGAAACCACATGCGTTAAAGGGAGAGAGCAGATGGGGAGGGGAGGGGAGGAGAGTGTGTAATAACCCAGTCACCACGTTGAGAACTCTTTTGTGTCCAGGGATGAAGAACCCCATTGGGATCCCGAAAATGAGCGTCAAAATAATAGTCTGGGTGATTTGACTGGAGCCCTTGCCAAGGTCAGCTTTACTGCAATGGATGCAGTAAAGTAGTGGAAATATTAATGCATTAGGAATTAACTGGGGTCCAGCAAGAGAGGCATCCTTGGGTATGAGCGTTAAAAGTCTGCTGATTTCTTATGGAAAAGCGAGGGAAAATGATGTCTTGAAGATGATGTTTATATATGATGTGTGCATGTGTGTGCGTGTGTGCATGTGTGTGTGCGTGCATGTGTGTGTGTATGTGTACACCTCTATCCGTACTTTTCCTTGGAGCAAGAAGAACGGGTAGCGCTGCTTTGGTGCCGGATAAAATGTCAGGAAAAGACAAGCTTTCTGAATTTGGAGAAAATGAGAAATCCGAGCTGCTTTTTTCAGACCAAAGAATAATGTCAGGAATGAGACACTAGAAGGACACGCACTGCCTGACATTTGTTTGTGATTTGTGGCTAAGGTTATGGGGATGGAGGTGTCACCGAAAAGTAGTTAAAGGACATGGAGGCTGCATGACTGTGGGACCTCCTTGTCCCCTGGAGCAAACCCGAGGTGTGCAGAAGAGAAGGGCTGTGTGTATTTAGTGGTCTGAGATGAAGGAAAGGTGCATTCCTGCCTCGGGCCCCATACTTGAGAGGGCCTTGCTCCCACTTCTTTAAGGATGATGGATAGGGAACCTGCCAGACTACTCCCTCCCCCCTGCGAGAAAGTCTATACTTTTTCTTTTGAGATTGTGATCTAGATACTCAGGGCCTAAACTCACCAGGCCTGACTCCAGGCCCCCAAACCCCTTTCTCCAAACAAAGAAGATTACAGTTACCCTGGTGGAATTGCCAAGGGCCAGCTGTTAGAGTTGGTCGGCCTGGGTGGAATGATCAGACCCTTCAGGTTGTCTGTTGTGTGGGTCGGGCCTAGGGAATGAAGGGGAAAGTGGGGAAGAAGGGGAGGGTTATCTCACATCCTCAAGATTCAGTGCAAAACTCACGAGTGGGCCAAGCTTGCATCTGACTGGCCTTGTTACCGAGAAGGTATAGTTGTTGGAGCTGTTAACTTTGTATGTAACTTGCATGTACTTAGTCGTTTACTATGTGGGCCTGATTTATTCTCCTGCTCCAAACCTGCCCTTAGGGGAATTCCTTCTTGAGTTGAAAGGCTTAGGCTACTGGTGGCAATGAGGTCCTCAGGCAGAGGAAACTTTTATTGTTTACATTATTGCTGTTACTATCTTTACTGGTTACAGACGGACCCTTAAAGACTAATAGAATAACCTTTGTGCCTGAATATGATCTCCATTACTTCCCGTTTTGTGAATGGCCATAGCAGAAAAAGAAAAATACCTTGTTGTTTTCAGCACTATCTGTCCCTTTGTACACAAAGATGGCAAGACCAGAATTACTGGTTCAACTGAGCATCCTGTTTCCTTCGGCTGTCTGGAAGGCATTCTCTTCCTGGGGAGCTGAGACTAGACTTCCTCCTTGAGCTGGGAAGGAAGACAATGTTGGTCTTTCAAACCTGCTTTTCCAGCTTAGCTTTGAGTCCGGACCCTGAACCTTTTTATTTTCCTCTAACCTTGAAATTAGGAATCTTTAAAACCAGGGAAGAGAAAGACTCAAGCAGAGCTGAGAGAGCTGAGGACCCAGAATGTTCGGTGGAGTGGACTTCAAGTTCTTCTTTTTCCCCTGAGTGTTCAAACTGAGGCAGGGTCCAAGCGACTATGAGAGAGAGGTGCATTCAGGGTTCTTTTGCTATAAGCGAGACTCAACTTGCTTATAGCAAACTCGCTTATAGCAACTCGTGTGGCCAGGATTAATAGACATGGCTTAAATTCTCGCTAAACGTACAGACACTTTCCTTGAAGAATTCTTCAGGCACTTGCTGTTCATTATCTTATCATCAGTAGATTTTTAATGTAACTATCTTTCTCATTTTATAGGCTTTGGGCATCTAAGACACCTATGTGAGACTGTGCATAGTTAGTTATTGAGACTGGCCTAAAAAGAGTCCCTTTTGGTAACAACACTTATACTTTTGATCACATTGCTGCAATGACCGGCTTCCCAATATTTGTTGGTATGATATAGGGAAGCAAAGCTATTTACTTATTTCTTTACTGGCATATTTTGGCACTGGGGTCTGAACATAGGGCCTTGAACTTGCTAGGCAAGTACTCTACCACAAACTTGAGGGAGGCATTTCCTTTAGTTTCTGGAAGACATTGAGAGAGGTTATTTGCTCAGACTACTTTAATCACTTAGTTGTGACGGCATCTAACTGGGGAAGTCATGTCAGATCCCACGGCCAGTTCACGGCAAAATTAGGATCTAGGCGTGGGAGCACTGCATGGGTCATTCCTCTGCTCTGCTCTGAAGGACTAGTCTAGAAATGCAGTTCAAGTACTGTTTAGGGGAGAAGCAGGCATGTTTTTCTTTCATCTTCAAACTTGGAGTGGGGTCACCAGCCTTTCATTGCCCTGCAATCCGTTCTGTGGACTCGGAAGGAATTCACAAGGAAACACATTGCTTGTGGTTTGGCCTCGAAACGTCATACAGAGAATGAAAGCCTGTGGTTGCTTGCTTTCAGACACTTTTTGCACCAAGTGTGTGCTTTGTGTGTGTGTGTGTTGTACATGTGTGTGTGTGGTGTGGTGTGTGCACATGTGTGTCCTTTGTGCAGGTATGCAGAGGCAAAAGCAGGGCGTTGAGTGTCTTGCTTTATGGTTGTGGAACTGGAAGCTTGTTCATTTGCTAGACTGGCTGACCAGCAAGCTTGGAGGACCCGCTTGTCTCTGCCCCCCTTGATGCTGGAATCACTCAGAGCATACACTCATAGATATGTTCTGTTTTTAAATTGAAGAGGGGGGATTTGAACCCAGGCCCTTAGGTTTGCTCTAGTTGCCTGAGCCATCTTCCCAGCTCCTCTGCATTTTGTCTTTCTTATTAAAAAGCCTCTTCTTTCTCTAGGGGTAGCTAGGGCAGGAGAAAATGCCCCTGTGTTCAAGTTGCTAATGTATAATTGTCTTTCCTGTTGGGACACTTGGCTCATTATTCTGCCTGGTTGAAACTCTAGGGAGTTAGGTGGGAGTCATGGCTCTTGCATGTAATCCCAACGATGGGGAGGCAGAGGCAGAGAGAGGCTGACTTTAAGGCCAGTGTAGGTTACACAGTGAGACCTCATTGCAACAAACAAACAAAACACAACAAACCACCAACAATAAAGCACAAACTAAGCTTAGTTAATTTAGAAGAAAAATCACACAATCTAGTTTATTTCAAAATACTTCCGTGTTTTTTTAAAAGGAGGGACTTAAAACAGGAGACTGAAGGACAAAAGAGGATTATTTCTCTAGCTTGTGGGTTCAGAAGTTGTTTCAGTTAGTTTGGACAGACTATCTCAAAAATTCAGTTGCCGCAATGGTAATTGTTTATTTCTTTATAACCACATGGGTCGGTAGTCCATTCTGGCTCAGCTGGCTCCGTTGTCAATCTCACCATAGTTTTTGCAGTGGTGACCTTGTAGCTAGTTTGCAGATAGCCTGACTATTCCTTTCACCCCGTACAAAAGCCCTCCTTGAATTGTGATGTTGCCATTTCTGTGTCAAACAGAGGAGATTATTTCTCATCATCATTTGTTGCTTGGGATTTGACGTTTTGAGACTGAGTTCTACTATCTGGCCCAGGCTGGACTTGAACTCTCCATTTCTTTGTGTCTCGGTGTTAGCCTTCTGAGTAGCTCTGATGAGACACACAAGACCACGTTGGGCTTTTCTCATTCCTTTACCCTGTGCGTTTGGGTTTAACTTCGTGACATTTTTTTTTTTTCCCCCACACAGTGGGACATTAACGAACAGGACACCGCGGCCATTTGTTAAGTGTTTGTTAGGTATTCACACAGTGGGGCTTGCTCTCTTGTTTCTATGACGCCAGGGATCACCTCTGGAATATACTTCGCTTGGTCTCCTAGAGAACGGGAACCCTGCCTTCTGCTCTGGCTGTGACTGGAGATGTGAATGAGGCCGCCTTAGCTCTACAGCTGTGCCCACTTGATCCAGACCCAGAGAACTAAGCACCATGGACTGGTACCACAAGCCGCGGCGCGTCCACGCTTGCTAGCTCATTTAAACGCTCACATTCATGGTCTGTTTCTGAAGTCACTCACACAGTACAGCCATGTCGACAGTTACTTGCTGGTGTGTGCTTTAGAAATTTGAATGATCTGAATAGCTTTTGCTTGTTTTTGTTTTGCTTTCTCTGGTGAAAACGTTTCTCTTCTGTGTAGCCTTCGCTGCTCGGTTTGCCTGCCTTTACCTCCCGAATGCTGGGATTAAAGACACAAAATGGTATTCTTGATGGATGGTTCATGGTTGATGGCACTGTTCTTGCCCATGAGGAAGCGCCACCGACAGGGAAACTTTTAATGGAAAGGACATCAAGAGGATGTGCTGGTGCCTTAGGTCCTTAGATGAGTGCTCAGCGCGTGCTCTCGTCCCTCTCACAGCAAGGGGGCCTTCAAGAGTTCAACGGCAGTCCAAGAGTGGTGTGGGAGAATTGTCTGCATCCTGTCAATCATATTTTAATAAAACGCTGATTGGCCAGGCA